CAGGAAATTCAGCTGCAGTCCTGCAGCAGGGACCAGTCCCCAAGGCCCTCTGTGTCTGCTAGGTTGGTGGGGAGCCCATGAGGGGGTCATCTCCAGAAATACATGCTGCTAAAAGTGAGTTTCTTCTTACAGGCACTGCAAGTAGGCTAGTGCCAGGGCTCTGCACTGCACTGCTCTACTCTGCACCACCTTTGCCTGCTGGATAATCCTTTCCCAAGTACTCATACCACTAGACTCCGATTCTGAAATTATTTTTTTCTTGATGGTTTTGCTGGAAGATGTCAAACCCTCCACGTGCTGATTATATAATAAAGAATTAAACAGCCACCCGAGTCTCTGAAGAAGCTGTTGCAGCATCATCCTTAAAGCTGCTTTATCAATTCATTACTGTTCACTGCATTTAGCAGGTGTATATATAGTATGTGTATGAAGGTGAAAGACCATGATTCATCTGGGAAATGTTAGTTCAGAACAGGGCCTTACGTTTTCAAGAGCTTTCTTTTCTCTGCTCATGTATTGTTAGTTTCTAGTCCTGCTTTCTGTCACTCCTCCCTTGACTTCTCCCTGCAGCTGGGGGAACAGCCACCCAAGGAAGCTCTGTACTGCTTAGGGCTGCTCATCAGGCTGTTACATGATGGAGGGTGGTACAAAAATCAGCTGATGCCATTAAATGGTACTTGTTATCCAACAGTATGCTGAAACCAAGCTCTCAATAGTAGAGCAAGGGGAAGGCAGTAGCTTTAGTAGGTAGTGATAAGCCAGATCCTCAGCTTGCTGTTTGTCTTGCACACCTGCAAATCCTTATGATCCCAAACACACAGACTTCAGGGTTTCTCCCTCCCTGCCCCACAGTGTTTCCACTATTCTATTCAAGGATCTCATCTTCTGTCCCTCAGTTTCCCTTTATCCTAGAGGCAGTGTGTAACTGAGGATCTGCTTTTGTTTCCTGCTCAATTCTCACTTCTTCCCCCTCAAGCACCAGCACTTTTGCATTTTTTTTGCCCAGCCTTTTCCTTCCTCAACTTCCCTACTAGCATAGCCAAATCTCTGTAAAGCCCCATTCTCTCTTTCCATAGAAATAATCTTTCATTTCAAATAAGTGATGTGACACAGCAGTTCAGGTCTTTGCTTAAGGACTATTTCCCTAAGATTTTTTTTTATTCCCATTGAACTGCTTTTAAAAAAAAGTAATTCCTTAGCCCATTCCTTACTGCATGCATTTAGAGGGCTGGGGCCTTCCAACTGGCACAGCTGCACTGCTAAATCTGCAGTGATGTTCAACGTGTACAGCTGGCCTCAGTTTTCTTCAGTGTTCTCAGTCCTATTTTCTTCAGGGTTTGTACAGCTTTTGACAGCTGCTTTTGTTTGATGCTCTTGCTGCTGTATATGCTACAGGGATACCACCTTTGGCTGCACAAGGAGCTGAGGGCTGGAGGGAGCACGTTCAGTCCCTGGGTGATAACTCATCGCTGCCTTTACAAGGTCTCATTTGCTGGCTTAGTGCCACAGAGGTTTTTGCTGCTGGGAGAGCGTTAGGTGTGACTGAGAGTGGCCTGGCTGCCGGTGAAGAAGAGGGCACAGGGGGTGTTGATGAGGCAGGCACCAGGGTAGGTTTGTTTTGTGCCTTGGGCCACTAGGAATAGCCATGTAATAGCTGGGCCTGCATTCGTCACGCTGCTGCTGTTTGGAGTTATTTGAACATTCCCTGTGTTGATTTTTTTGATGTTTCAGGGTTGAAAAAGGCTGTCAACAAAATCCTGAGTAAAATTCAAGTGGCTGATTACAGCCTAGTAATGTGAGGAACTGCCTGTCTGCATGCTGCCCTCTAGTCTTTGAGGGCAGGAGCAGCCCCATTACCAGCCTTTGGCCTTGGTCCTGCTGTGCCTCCCTTACTGCTGCTTGGGCTCTGCAGGGACTAATCAGGAGAGCTGCTCCGTACTCCCCGAGTCTGTAACGTCAGGTAACTGTACAGTGAGAATGCAACTGCTGGCCTGGTGCTGCGGAACTGGAGTGTCTGTGTACAGGGAAGGGAACTGGATGGCCTGCGGGGGGGAGGGGAAGCAAGTTCTCACGAGTGTGGGATCCAGCCAAGAGTAGTGACATAGCGGTGCTGGGAGGAAGCCGCCCCTGTGGCCTTTCCAAGGACAACCCTGCTGAAGAGCTGACACTGATGTCAGGTGCCATTTCTCCAGTTGCACAGACTTTAGAACACCATGTTAAAAAGAGGAAGAAGCAAGAAAAGACACTTTTATGAAAGGGTTCTCCAGTGTGCACACATATGAACTATGTCTTACATGGAGATGTTCTTGTCCCTCGAAAGAAGAAACTCATGTACGTGAGTCACGAGATTCTGATGATCATTGGACGTGTCAATACCAATCTTGGGAACGAAGCTATGGTCAGTGCGTGGATCAGCACAGGACACTAACCACTGTGTAGCTCTGTTAACAGTGTAGGGCCAGGGAAAAAACTCAGACTGTGTGAGATGGAACCGATCTTATCAGCTCATGCACTGCAATTACGAGCATGGAAAAAATTACTGGTTCAGCTCTTGAACCACATGAACTGGCACAGCTGTATTTTTTTCCCCGCAGTTGTACTGATTTACATCGTGTAGGTTATGTTCTTAGTAGTTTAAAAATGTTTCCCAGCTTTGGACAGACTGGAAATGTAATTCAGCAACTGTAACTGATTTCTGGCTTTTGGGTTAGTTGCTATTGCCTCTGGACTACAGACTAATGTACCGTAACCACGTAGCTCTTTTCTAGCTGTAACTCCTACAATGTGCCTAAGCAGACAAGATTTTAGCAGAAATTAAGTTACCTATCAATAACAAAAGTCAGGAATCTAAGCCCGAGATGCTAAGAGAAGCACATTTTAGGAAAACCAAGCATCTAAACAAGACTTCCAAGGGAATTGTGTATTTCATAAGAACATGCTCTGATAACTAATGAGGTACCTGTGCTTCACACAGGTTAGACTCCCGTTTAAGCAACAAGACCTTTAATGGTCTACTGCAGTTACGTATTAGTCCAACTCCTGAAAGTAACAAAAATTAATGAAATTTTATTGGCAAAAATTAAGTTGAATGTGACCTATGTAATTCAACAGAAGCGAGCCTCAGTTTAGCTTATCAAAATACTTCAGTTTTCCAGCTGGATCTGGAATTATCTGTGCAAGAAAGAAAATGAAAATGTTAGTCTAAAAACAAAACCATGCAGACACAACAAACCAGAACAGCATGGGGTTTCATAATATGATGCTAAGGCCAACCAACAAGCAACACTGAGGAGTAATTTATCAGTTGACTTGATACGATATTACTGCTTATCTCTAAAGGTACCTAACAGCAGTAGCAGAAAGATTTAACTAACTGGGGGAAGAGAGAGTGCAGCCTACCAAAGGAAGAATTTGGACAGCTGGGAGCACGTACAGCTATGTTGCTTGCCCCAAAACTGAGGTATTTTAATAAATTAATGTCTGTAATCAGAAGTCTTAGAATTTACTTACAGTTCTTCCCTTGGCCACCACACTCTCATGGCTTCCTCTGGTTTGATCTAATTAAATCAAGCACATTTAGAAGGCATGGCTACATCTTTGAGAAAGTCTTTTTGAACTACTCTGCTACTTAAATTACCTGAATCTTTTGCACAGAGAAGAAAGAGAAGGCTTATGTATTGTTGTAGATCTTTAAATTGGTACTATTAGAGCTGTTAATATCAGCAGTGTTAAGACTTTGTTAATGTTGTTTTATTTAGGTAATCCATGGTTATGGAGGGCAGAACTTCTCAGTGCCAAAATATGTCTGTTAGGCCAGCCAGCCCTCTTTCATTTTACAGTCTTAATATCCAGCTTCCCCCACTAAGACACTGTTCTGCTAGCTTGAAAGAGGTGACTCCGAGCCTCAAGTCATCCTGGGAAGTTTTCACATCCAGCAAAGAAACATGGTTTAACATTCCACTGTTTTTACTATCAATTACAATGGTCACTACACGCTGCTTAGAGGCTGCTGGGACCTGCTTTTTGTTGAGACAGCTCTTAAACAACAAGCTCTGCCATCGCCAGACGGTTCAGAAGAAAGCCACATGCTCAAATAAATGACAGTGATCTCATCTGAACTAGGCGGCTCAGACCTCTGTGAAAGTTTCATTATTCTGCCGAGGCTTGATCCAAGCCCAGAGAACACAAACAAGTGCAATGGGTGTTTATCTGAACGGTCACGTGTAGGCCAGTAGTAACAAAGGAGGAAGAGCCACTGTGCAGCAAAGCAGTGCTCTCTGCTGGAGTTCTGACAGTGGCACACCGGCTCTGGCAGATGCTACAGCAGCCGAGGAACCCAAATCTTTTTTTGGGTAGTGCCTATGATCCACAGTCAGACTCGACAGAGCCAAGAATTTATATGGACAAATAACTGAGAAGATAGGACAGACTCAAGAGTTTCCAATTCCTCTCATCAGGTGTTAACAAGGAAAAAAGTTCTTGATCATGAACTCAAGAGAGTTTTTTTCACGCACGAGGAATTTAAAACAAGTGGAATATGTCCAGTGTAAGGGAAACGAGCTCCTAATGAGATCAGTAGTAATCCAAAGGCTGTAACTATAATAATGTGAGTTTACTCATATTAGTATCTCATTGAAAGTTGCAAAGATTTTGGATTTGGCTTTAGTGGAAAGGATAACTGAGTGTTTTTCAGTAGTACATGCATTTAAATATAAACAGTGACTTACTGTTTCACTGCCAGGTTTCCAACCAGCGGGGCAAACTGCAAAAAAAAAAAAAAGAGACAAAGTTAGTAACAGTATTTTTACACACACTTACTTCTGTGCACTTAATATTCTCTTTCTGAACTTGAAGTAAAACAGCACACAAGTGTCACATGTAAATATATGCAACTATTAAATACGCAGTTTTCTTTATACATGGGATGGTGTAATGACATTTTATACGTGATACAACCTACCACTTCTGTTAACTGGAAACTGCGTTTCTCTGGATGGATGTCTGTGCCTTGATTTAAATCTTGTGCCCTGCTAAAGTACTGGCAAAGCAATATCTGAGAAAGAACACCTATTCTAGCAGAAACAAAGGTTTTGTGATAAAATTCAGGTGACTACACAGAGATCTACCTTTATTTCTTTAAAACCAAGGCTAGGGGAAATTTTTCAGCAAAGAAATCACTTCAAAGAGTCCACAAGAGACTGACTGATTTTATTTGAAGCCTCGCTCAGGGGCAAAGGGCGTACAGCATGCAGTTAGCGTGCAGTGTGGCTGAGAGCCCTGAGATCAGCTGCACATCCTGGAGTGAAGCTCTTATCTGCTCACAGCTCTCCCTCTGAGGCTTTAGCCCAGCGAGTTATGCTGTATTACACAGCTGGAAGGCACGCTGTCAGACAAAACACCACAAATGCAGTTAGAAATTGTGGAGAATTTTTTTTCCCTGTTCTGTGCAAAGAGTCCAAGAAGGTGTCTTAGGGAGGTTCTCTTCAGCATTCATGCAGAAGCTGGTGAGACTCCATGTACAGCTGGAAAAAGATGTAGTACTCTGGAAACTCACTGCAGATCAATATTCTCTAAGACAGCTTTGTAACCGAATAAAAGAGGCTACATTTCCTTAGTCAAATGTGTGTAGCCTAAGTATTAGCATTTATCTTTTTAAATCTGTACAGCAAAACATAATAGTGATTTGTACCTTCAGACAAAGATACTTTCAAATGCCAGGTGAAAAGGAGTTGAAATGGAAGTTAAGCTGCTGAACATGTGTATTAATATTTAAACAAATATTTAAATAAATTAATGTGTGCATGTAAACACATTGTTTAAAGAAATGTGAAAAGTTCACCCTATGCTTGAACTGGGGGTATATGAATTCTTGGGACAAAGCAATGATCTGAAGCCAGTGAAAGCTTCTTTGTCAGGGGAAGATGATCACATGGCGCTTGTAAAGAAAACACAAGTAATGGGGGTCTAACTTGCACAGTATCACCATGTCTCTTGATATGAAGCACTCTCAGTTACTTGTCACAGATCCTTAATGAATGACACAGGACAAGGATGGCCTGCATCTAAATTATTTTAGTATGCCAAAAAATGTACTGAAATACTGAGCCTGGTTGTTCATGGCCTCATATTTTGTACATATTTATATGACAGATGGTACTTCATGCCTTAATTCAGACTAAGGAATGCTTTATGCTCCACATCCTCATGGATGTGAAACAAAATGTGAATTACTGCACTAGAAACAACATATGGAGCTACCAGGACCACAGAATTTTGCAGCAGGGCAATCAAACCCCTCCATTCACTGCATGAGGCTAGCCTTTGATGCTACTGAGTACCTTCCTTCCAAAAACTACAAATACAGCTTCCAGTTTAAGTAAAACAATCTTCAACATGAAAGTATTTAAAAGAGCACCTTCTCCATGTTTGTCTGTGTATTGGAACGCTTGGACTAAACGAAGCGTTTCATCCACTGATCTCCCAACAGGAAGGTCATTCATCGTGATCTGTCGAAGGATCCTCTTATCATCAATAATGAAAAGGCCTCTGTGAAAATATTTTTTGTGTGTGTTAGGCAACAGAACTAATTACAGTGTTGTGTTTACGCACTATTTTATGTCTGCTGGATGGGAAGAATTTGATCTCTGCAAACACCATACAATACCCACCACCTTCGAATATTACTAACCTACTATTCTTTACCTGGGGTATCAGAGGACATGAGCTGAGGGGAAGTTAAACACAAAAAAGGAGAGTTCTCTGCAGAACATAAAACTAAGCTTTGACAGGCCCTGCCAGAGGATGTTACAGATGCTATGATGCTACGGGGATCCCAAAAGCAACTAATCAAGTTTATGAAAACTATATCTCTTAAGGCCATTAGCTACCCTTAGCCTTGACTCCACTTGGACTTGGGAGCTCCCTGAGTAACTGCAGTTCTGGGGTATTCTGCCTGTTTGCCCTGACCCAGGTATCTGCTGATGACTGCTCTTAAACAAGATATTAACCTCCACCCTTGTTCTGACTCATTATGGCTATTTTTTTGTGTTCTTCAATATTTATTTTGTCTCTTGAATCCCCAAGTAAAAACTGCTCACAAAGAAAAATTTTAGAAGTTTCTTTAGACAGAAAGTAGTAAGTACTACCCCAACGAAAAAACCCCAAACAAACCTGTAACCAAGTGAAATACCTAAGTGTGTGCCCTTGATCTTCCAGATATACTCCGTAATCCTTTGAAATTTGGTGTGTCAAGTCTGAAAGAAGTGGAATCTTCATAGGTCCGAGTCCTCCTTGTTTTCGAGGAGTATTAATCCTTTGAAAGAAATGAGAAACAGATGTATTTCTCATAAAGATTTACATTC